CAAGTAACTGGATGTCATAAGTATGAAGAACATGGCACGCGCCGAAGCTTGAGTGCTCACGAAGATGTAGGAGAGGATCAAGCTGAGTGGCTTCGTGGATGGTAAGAAGCTCAAGAGGGTGGCGCGGAGGAGGCGAAGAGGGTGCGACAAAGAAGAAACGAACAGACGTTGAAGGGTACATATGTTTGCCGGCGGATCCGCGGCATCCGTGAATGGTTCTAGTATGACTTCCGGGCCCGCTCCGTTTCTCGCTTGATAAACAACGCACTCGTCTGTTCTGCCACTCACTTCAAGTTGTATCTATGAATTCAACCATGTATCTAATGATATATAGTGAGTATTCCTCTGAAGAACGCTCAAACCACCTGAGCACTTGTCTTACACCTCAATTTCTCGCGGTCACTGGAGACAACAATTATTATTGCAATAGCGAGTAGCCCTTGACCCTCTGCCCAATCTGTAGACATCACATCCGCATTAAATACTAGCACCGAATATGCCCTGCCTTCGTGCACGGGATTCATGCACAGTGCATCTGCAGCGCCACTTCAGACGACACGCTTCTGACCATTTGGGGACGCGTTCAACATCTTCTTCCTTCGTCCGCTCGTCTCGTATGCTTTGATGCCAGGTCTCGCGCTCATCGTCTCTCTCCACGCGGCAAGACCGGGTAGCCGGCGAGAAGGTCCGGGTTGAGATGCGAGAGGCAGTAACAGAGGTAATACAGTTGGAACTCGGCGAAGGATGGCTGATAGGACGACCATACGCGTTGTCGCCGATATTGATAAGTATGCGAAGTGCACGTCAGAGGAAGCGGTTTGTGTGACTTAAGAATTCGCGACGTACATGCTCGTATACGAAATAGCCATTCGCACTCTTACTCTGTTGGAGTAGGTGCTCGAGTTGCTTCAGGGCCCTCGGTACGTCTTGCAAAGCGAACGAAGGCAACAAATTTTCCTAAGCATGACTATTGTGAGGGCCGAACTTGTGCAGCAGTATTATGAGATCATGCGCGCACTGCATCAGGATTATAAACGTTCCGTTGGTATGCAACGTGGAGGTCCTAACAGAGCACGCCGCAAACGGGCATTCAGCACTTGGCGTTTCATGACAAATGACTTTACAACTCACCTCGCAAGCAGCTTCGAGCATGTCGACTATGGCGTCGTCTTCGAGGTTTCCATTACCGCCGTAGCCTAAGCACCCGCCGTCAGTATAGGCTATCTCAGAAAGCACGGACAGGCGTACCCCTTGCCTTGGCGATGTAGCGCAATATCGCGTCTAGTTGAGCCAGATTAAACCCGTTCACCTGTTACCGAAAATCAGCCATAGTCAATACGATGTCTGAATATTGTCTGAGTTTTCCCATTCGGATGGACTCAACCGTGACTCCGACGTCGTACGAATTGACACGAAATGAAAAATACGACATACCTTGAGCCTGGGCATTTGGTTAAACCTGTACTCATCGAGGTCCCACTTCTGCGCCTTGAAAGATTCAACATCGTTGGTCTCGACGTAAGCGACCCCTGCGTCCTCAAGCAGAAGACGGATCGGTTCTCCACGACTGCAAATCGGGAAGTACTGCAGTTCGACGTCGCGGAGTTCGATGATTGGTGTCGAGGACATCACTGTTTGACTCCAGTTGAAAGTTGAGCAAGGTGACTGTGACTGGGATGAGATAAACGAGGGACCCAAGCAAACGTGTCTTATATGAGACTGTGTGGGGCGGTGCGCGACCTGCAACGCCAGTTTCGAACTTCTGTCACCTACGACTCGGAACGAACCATGTTAATTGAGTCGTGCCCACGATCTTGATGGGCACTCTGCTTACCACGAAAACATTCGATAGGCTCCTGTGATCGCAAGTTCTCTGCTGACACCGGTGCACAGTCAGCGGCCATGCAGATTACCTTCCGAAGGAACACTTACCAGTGACCTTATTACATAAGTCGGTATCAGTCTGACAGAAGCCGGGCGTTATGAACCAATGAAAGCCTGCCTGCGACGTCGCGTCAGTCCATTATAGGCGCAGAGCATGTTTCACTGAAATACGACAGACGAGGTCAGGAGTAATAATCCGAATCAAGGGGCGCCCAACTTATACACACACGGCGGCCGGATGATAAATCACTGGCAGGCCAGAGCAGCTATTAGGCGAACACCAAAAGCGCCGACAATGCTACACGCACCAGCGCATCGCCTACTCGTTTGATACGAGGATCAAGGCATGGCGCTATGGCTTAAGCGCACAACATCACGCTAGATAGAATCGAATGTCTTAGTCACATAGCCAGCTGTAGGGGGCTGAGTAACTGATGAGAAATTGCGAGGGCATGGTTCGAGATGATGCATAGGAATAGTAAATGGATAGCGCACGAGTTGCAAGACGCATACTTGAAGCAGAGACGTGTGTGTGATGGCACCATAGCCGATTTGACGCAAGGATGTAGGTCGCAATGAGGGTTGGTAGCAAATAACTCCGTAATTGGAGCTCGCCAGCAGCTAATAAACTTGAAGATCCGACCTAATTGCAGTGAGCCGCATAGCCTTTTCAAACCATGGAAAGGGACAGCCATGAAGGGTGCAGAAACCGAGCATGAACTCAGGCAAGTCTGTCGAGACCCGCCGCATAAGGATGCACGGTGCTCAGTGTCCCAGTCGCACGAGAGGGACTAGGATTATGCTGCTGCTGAGCAATTCATGATGAGCGTCTCAGCTGCTTGGTCTGAGGCAAAGTCTACCTGAGGGTCTAGGAGGTGATGCGCATTGCTTGAGAGCCAAGCGCTGCCACAATACCCTTGGGGACCATCCTCTCCTCCGTCAAAGAGGTCTTCTTTAGCCTGGTCTGCCTAGGGGAGACTACCACAGTAGTACGTGCCAACGCAGTCCGCAGCGCAATGATGCGACGGTTCGAGTCAAGCAGATTGTCAGCGAACGAGTTGTCAAACTCGGATAGACGACGTACCATTAACAACATATCCCACCAGTCTTTCTTGATCCTTGTCGACACGGACGACGGAAGAAAAGTCACTGGCAACTATCTTGCATGCCAGATGCAGCCGCGGAGGCCACTGTTCAGACGCATTTATCAAACGTCATCACATGGCCAGCGAATGCAGCGCACATCCCATTCGCCCTCATACTCACATTGCCAGTCGATTTGCGTAGTTCTAGTAACTTATGTTGTAAGTATGCTGGCATCTCACGAAAGGCTCGGTCTTGAAGAAATGCGTTCGGGAGAGGTTCGGGCTACGGATGTCCGTGTTAGGTAGCCCGAGCCTCGGATATGGATGCAGAGCAGCCGCAAATGGGTGCGTTGAGTCTCGCTTGGCTCGCTCAGTCGATCATCGGGATGTCCAATACTACTTACCGGTCAGAATGATTTCATGCATCAGAATGTCGTTCACTCGAGGTCAAACAAACAACATTCAATCAGCGCGTCACTAGCCCTGACGTCTAATGTGGGCTTTGCACCAATGTCGACTGAAGCTAATAACGCAGCGAATGCAGAAGATCCTGGCTTCTCCTCGTACCGCATAACGAGAGGCGTGAGACAGGGAGACCCACTGTCATGCCTCCTTTTCGACCTTGCAATAGAACCACTCGCCGCCTCACTGAGGAAATCAAATTTAAGAGGATATGACATACCTGGAGCAAATGAACGCCTCATAGCAACATTGTTCGCGGACGACACAACAACATTCCTGAGGAAGGATGACAGCTTCGAGGACTTGACGAGCATCCTGGACCTATGGTGCACAGCATCAGGAGCGAAGTTTAACAAGGATAAAACAGAAGTGATCCCGATTGGCACTCAAGACTACAGGACAAGGCTCATTGAGACCCGCCAGATGACGCCCGAAGGTGACAAAATCCCAGCCCACATAAGAATCGCAAAAGAAGGAGAAGCCATTCGTATTCTGGGAGCCTGGTATGGGAACGGCGTTAACAATGCCACGCTGTGGACTCCGGTCCTCGAGAAACTAGATGCCACACTAGATAGATGGGAAAACCGCAAACCCACGATGGAAGGCAGGAAACATGTCGCCCAGATGCACATCGGTGGAATAACACAGTACCTAGCCAAGGTGCAAGGCATGCCGAAGCATATAGAAAAACGGCTTGACAAACGGGTGCGCACCTTCCTATGGGCCGATAAGAAACAATCCCCTGTCAACAAGGACACCCTCCATGCGCCAATACTGATGGGAGGACGCGCAGCGCTCGACATAGTAGCAAGGAACGATGCTATCGAGCTCACCTGGATCAAGGACTACCTAAGTTTTGGCCCGGACAGACCTCTCTGGGCATATGTCGCAGACGCCATCCTAGCCCGATCAATCCCAAAGTCCGAAAGGTCAATACCAGAAACCGTAAGGCAGAACATCTTCCTGCAGTCCTGGAAAACCAAACTGTCAGCCATACCCGAACGTCTAAGGCGGATGATAAAAACAGCCAGAAAATACGGTGTAAGGATGGAAGGGCTGGCCTTCGAGAGGAAGATACTCAGAGACATGCCGATCTGGCTACACGGCGAGGCAGGAAGCCGCCTGAGGAGACTAACCCATGGCAAGGCGAGTGAATGCCTGCGCAAAAACCATACGATGCACACGGTCGGCGAGGCTGAAGACATTGCCCACAGCCTACACAACCCGGGGCATAGACCGAGGCGAACGTGTGGCTGCAATACCTGCAAACGTGCCCGCGACGAGCTCCACTGCAACAACCCACACAAATGCTATAAGCGAGCCAAAGAAATACTCACACAACTTCCCGAGAAGTGGGACCCTCGACAGCTGAAGCCGGAGGACCTGGAGAACCTGATGCGCCACAACGAGGAAGGCGCAGGGAACGACAAGGACGACTGGGCCCCCTTCGACCCTTCGATCACCACCCAAGGATCCCTGGCGGACATCTTCCGCGTCTTCACTTCGGGAGAAGTCACCAATACTACGTTCCTAGGCGAGCGAGCCGAAGAACTTGAAGACACCATCGTGATGGCCACAGATGGATCATGCTACGACAACGGAAGCGCGAATGCACGCGCGGGCGCCGGCGGCTATGCTGGGGAAGAAAACGAAGACAACTTCTCACTCCGCCTCCCACCCGAGATACCACAGTCGAACCAGACAGGCGAGCTGGTCGCCGTGTCAGAAGCGTGTCGACGGATCGACGCAAAACACCCTTTGAAAATCATTAGTGACTCGAAATATACAATCGCTGAAGCCACGAACCTGCGCCAACTACACGAAGATAGAGGCTATATAGGCGTAGCAAACGCAACAGTAATCCGCGCGATGATTGGCAATCTGCGGTCGCGCAGGGAAGGAACGAGATTCAAGTGGGTAAAAGGACACAAGGGCCACGCACTTAATGAAGGGGCGGACAAACTCGCCGGGATAGGTGCACAAAAGCACGACCCAGACGTCATCAGCACCTCGGTAGAGGCCGAACTGCGAGTAAGCGGAGCGAAACTCACTCTAATCACCCAGAAGCTAGCATACAGAGGCATCAGAGAAATCAAAATGGAAGGATACACGCAGCGTAGACGTACCAGAGACAACATCATCCGGTCCGTGGACAACATCGAAGTATTCTTCCACGAAACTCCTTCGGAAGCACAGCTATGGAAAGGCATGAGGCACAAGGACATCAGGAAAGAAGTAAGATACTTCCTGTGGATGTCCATGCACGACGCATACATGGTCGGCACCAACTGGCTACGCCCGAGTTACTCGGAGGAGCTACAAAGGAGGCACGAATGCTCAGTGTGCGGCCAACCCGAGTCGATGGACCACATACTATCAGAATGCGAAGCTCCAGGGCAGCGCGAAGTCTGGCAACTCGCGAAACAACTATGGGACAAAAAATGCGCGCTGTGGCCCCGCCCATCGCTAGGAGCTGTCCTGAGCTGCCCGATAGCGCCATTCAAGACCGACAAGGGTAAGCCCAAAACGGGCGAGACGAGACTGTACCGGATACTCATGACAGAATCCGCGTACCTCATATGGAAACTACGGAATGAACGAGTGATCGTGGATGAGGACCACCCTCGAGGCTCGCCAGCAACGCCGACAGAAATAGAGTCTAGGTGGCTCCAAGCCATAAACGAGCGATTGACACTAGACTGTAAAATGACCGATGAAAAAAAATACGGTAAAAAAGCGATCAAGAGACTCACCGTCGAACGGACGTGGGGAAGAACGCTCAAAGACGAAAGTCAACTACCCGGGGATTGGTCCCGGAGTGGTACTGGGGTTTTAGTGGGTATCGAGAGAGGTCAGCTCAGGGGGGAGGGCGCACCGGAGATAAGATGGAGCGATGATGGTGCGCCAGACTGACCGGCTCCGGTTTTTGAGTCCCACACTTCGTGCGTAAATGCATTTCCTCAGTGGTGAATTTGGATAACGGATATATGGACAACCTATCTGGGGTTTCAACCCCCCAGACCGCCAGCGGGATACCTGGAGACGACTTTGTCGACTGCCAGGTCCAGCGTTGATCGCTCCGATCAACGCAACGCTCCACCAAAAAAAAAAAAAAAAAAAAAAAAAGAAAAAACCAGAAGATCCTGGCTTTACATAACGCTTGCTTTCGATGGCAAAGTGCTCACTGCCGGCCACGCCGGCGTGCCCGAAAATACCTGCAAGACGTACCGGACAATGTGACAGCACTGGACTGCGCTCATGGCTCTTTGTACGACTCCTTGCTGCGCATATGCCTCACGGGTCGATTGGTTCAAGTCGATGACTTCTCGTAAGATGCGCATAAGCGGGCTAGAGTGATGCAATGTGCACCGGTGTTGCATGAGTGAAACTGACACTGTCGGCGACTTCACAGTATAAGAGGTGGTCGAGTATCTGCCCTTTCCCTCAGCTCCTCTCTTTCATACTTCGAGCTCATCCCCAAGCACGAGCACTGGTTGGTACGTCCCAGTCTTAAATTCTTCCATGACAAGGCGTAATGTACACTGACTCCGATTCTTGTGCTACAGCTCTGCTTTTTGTTTATTCTCCACCCTTCCTCCGCCGACTCAAACGCCAAGAGTCGATCCATGCGCCATTTCACAATTGTTCTGCTCGCTGTGAGCGCTGTGGCACAGGTATCTGCCCTCCCTGTTCACCGGTGCGTGTTGGAAGTCTTCTGCCTCACTGGTCGCAAGACTCAGTTTGGCACCACCGTAGGAACGGAGTGGCCTGTGGCGCGGTGCCTCCAGGCTCAAAATGCATTCTTCGACACGACCTCGACGCTCGGTACCATGCTGACGGTGTATATGGTAAACTGTCCAAGAGGAGACCCGGACGCAAGGATCAGCCAACTAGCGGCATGGGGCGGCCGAAACCGAAACCGCAACCGAAACCGAAGCCTACCGGAGGTAGTACATGTTGCACTGTCATGCGCAGAGATGGGCCTGAGCGCG